CATCCACATCTATATCACCATCACTATGAAAAATAAAAAATAGACCCGAGAAATCTAAAACGTTCACACAATTTAATAATTTGATCGGTCATGATTACAACTTTGTCATTATAGCTACTAATACTAAAATTACATTCCATGAAATCAACTTTAGTTCTACTCAAACAGAGGCCTTTAAACTCCAATGTAGACCTCCATAATCCTAGTTTTTTCCTGAACTCTTTCTCTAGTCTTATCCAAAAGAAGGATATCATCAGCAAAAAGCAAACATCAAAAAATTTACCAAAGTAAAAAAAAATAGTCGATCAAAACATAAGGAGATGCTTCCTCTAAAATTAGATTGCAAGATACATGCGCACTTAATATAATCACACAAATAATTGAAATATGAAAGAAAATATTCTAGTCAATCACAAATATTTGATTGCATGTATTAAGAATAAATTCACTCAATCAAAGATATTTATTTAAACACACTAAAGTATTTATTTATAAGCAACTTTCTATTTATATGTAATATGTTATCTAATCAACTGCCTCTCTTTTGCTTGTTACAAATTCCAACTTTGAGTCAATATTCCAAAAAAAATGCATCAAAAAGCTAGAGATAACCTATTGTTTACAAATAATACTATGTTTAAACACTCAAAAGTAATAGCCAAATCACAAAAATTGAACTCGTGACAAATAATGCACAATTCAAGCTACATACTCTAGTCACTACAGTCACAATACCAAGCATGCTATAGAAGCCTCGCTCGTGTCAAAAGTGTACTTCAATGCAAGGATCAATCACCCATACTATATATTTTCATTAGCTTTGTTAAAAAAAAAGTCACTTAAGGACAAGTCAAACAGCACTTAAAACTAGCTAGAGAAAAAACTCATGAATTGCTAAAGAAATGTACCTTTCTTCTTTCACTAGTTGTGACACTCCATAGGTCCCTTTGAGTTCCATATTCATTTTGAGCCTTACAAGATCCATTATTTTTCCTTTATTTCATCGTATGTTCCATATTGGATTCCAAAGATCATAAGACAAATCCTCACAAACTTCCATTGTATTCATTGCATCTTTCATGTCATGTTTTTTAGCAAACATTGATATGACACCAACGAGCATGATAGAATCATTGTTAATCGATTAAAACTCCTATGTCTTATCCAAATCTTTCACCACAACACCCACTTCAAGCATTATAGATTCATAAAATTCAAGAATAAATATGCAGACCTCCAATATCCTTTTCAACTATATACTTTCATCAAGTGGTTTTACATAAATCCACACTAAAGTTGACTAAAAATCAATCACTATAAACTCAAAATGAGGTTAATTCAATTCAAAACTAAACAACAACAACAAGCCTTTATCCCACTAAGTGGAGTCGACTGCATGAATCTTTTTTGCTCCATTGCATCCTATTGAATGTCATATTTTCATTTAATTCTAATAAACTAAGATCATTTTTTATACAATATGCCCAAGTCTTTTTAGGTCTACCTCTGTCTTTCTTAACAAAAGTTGAATCTAAAACATCTACTCTCCTAACCAGATCATCAGATAGTTGATGTTTAATATGACCAGATCATCTAAGACGACTCTCTAATTTTGTCTGCCACATAAGCTACACCAAACCTATCACGGATATGTTTATTTCGCATTAATTCAATTAAAAAAAAAGAAACTTAATTTCAAATTAAAGGCAAGTTTGCTCAAACTTGCCTTTAAACCAACATTAAGTTAAATTCATCTTGAATAATGTCATAAATAAATTTAAATACAAATAAAATCTATGTTTAAATAAATTTTAAATACATTTCATATCTAACATTCCCATATTAAATATTTTATGATAAATCAAATATAACATGTTTGTATTATCAAATAATTTTGAGTTATTTTGTGCATAATCGAATGGAGCCTTAATTATGAAGTTAATTTAGAGCCAAAATCAATTCCTTTTGAGTCAAGGCAACTAGACATCAACATTAAAAAAAATTAAGCCAAATTCCAATCAACTTGAGATTTGAGTCCAAACCTAAGAAAATGGGTCTGAACATTTTACACTATTTAGAGGTAATAAATGTAGGTTTCCCAAGGTTTTAGCAATGGATCATGTTGTCTTGTGCATTCCAATTGACATAATTGTTTCAGAAAAAAAAATCCGTAATAGTGCATAAATTCTTGATCGTGTCAAAGTACTCTAAAAGATGATATTTTTAAGACATTGGAATGTATCACAAATGAAACAAATGTACAAATGATTTGTTATATAATGCAAACATTTTCAATTGGCAAATTTTATACTTATTATTGTATATTTAATAGTTTGAACTTGAGGAATGTTTATGCTATGCAGTTTAATGTTCAAAAAAGGATGGGCATGAGCAATGAAAATGAACAGCACGAAGGTAATCTTACAACTAAACAAAAAAAAAAAAACAGTTTCTATATGTTCTTTGCTAAACACAAGCGTGCAGTTTGCAGAATGGTTATCAATTATTATTATAACTTTTTTCTACTAAAATCCATTTTGAAGGTTGTTAGGAATGATTTGCTTGTTTGGATGATTTATGTATTGATGATTGCTAGAAAGATAGCTTCCTAATTGCAATAATTCAATCAAGATAATTTTTCAGTCAACAATCAGATAATTACATAATTATTAAAAACATCAAATAAACCTTCATTGTAAAACCATACCTACTTGTGTGAGGTGAATGACACTGTGTGCGACACAAAACGATTGGCATTGCTTCAATTTTTTTAACATAAACTTCCTTGTTCAAGGACTCAATCCCCACTTTTGTTAAGGGCAACAAAATCTAAGAGTAATATCTCCTCCTCCCCCAAAATTCTTCCATAATGCCCTCCCCTCATCCTTTCTTCTCTCGCCCTCTAGCCATGTTATACCTAAGAACTGCTCCAGTACATAAAATGACGTCAACCCCCTCGGCACCCACAAGGGAACGAACCCCTCCAATCAACACTAATCCTAAATTTCAAGCCCACTTTCTCTAAGGTCCTTCCCATCCTCTTGGTTGAATTTCTCTTAGCAAAATCTTTCACTTCTATGAAATCAAACTTGCATCGCTTGTAGTTTAGAAAGTGTTTTACATTGCTATCATCAGTACTTTGGGAGCAAACAAGAAGGTAGTGTTTACGAGTGTTATTAAATTTACCGATCTAGCATAAATTTAATTTTGAATTAAATTGAATTGGCTTCGAGTTAGACGAAGAAACCTACAACAAGTCTGCAAAACACAATTTAACAAATTTTCTATAGAAACGTTCCACCTAACTTTTCAAGGTGGCAGCAAAAGTAACAAATGAAAACTAAGATTCCAAAGGAAACAATACTACTTCATATACTAAACTTAGACAAATCTGTGTACCATGAAACCGCGCAACAATGCTACAAAATAAAGTTCATGCTACATAAATGGAAGAGATGATTTGCAAGTGTGTTACCCACGTTTGCATGGCCATGGAGAACGAGGACACAAAGTACAACTTAAGGCTATGATTGAATGTTTTGAAGAAAATAAAAATGTTCATGTGATAGACTATTAAAAAAAAACTGAAGAAAAGATATTTACAATTCAAAGCCCATACCCTTCCCATCCTGTTGGGTGAAAGCAGATAACCATAATTTAAGATTTCTAAGAATATGCTAGTTTAACTTTGAATTTTGGAAAACATACTAGAGAGAACAGTAAAAATGGGTTGCGGTGGCAGAATGAGCTGCTCCATACCCCCAAATAAAGTCCAAGGGAATAAACTTTAATTGACGGTGCATGCAACATCAAAAAAAAACACCATCTATCTTCTATATTGCCTGCATTTAACATTAAACTTCTCCATTCCACACAACATCCCATGCAAGGTTAGAGTTAAGCAATGAACCTAGGACAGAATCATAGATTCAATAGATCCCAAGAAGAAAAGGAATAGGAACAAAAATATATAAACAGGGAAAAGCATTACAATTTTCCAACACTCAGGACCTTAAATCCAAAATTTGTAGGATTTAACCTAGGTGCAGACTAAATCTTGCCAGAAAATCATTTTGGACAAAATAAATCTGTGGAATTGATAAATTCGGATTTCATGAATTTCGGCCTTAAATCCAGGAATTACTAAATCCCACGAATCATTGGATTTACGGGATTTATGGGAGAGAAAACTTAGATGTAGGCAGAACTTCTTAAATAGCTTCAAAATCTGTCACCAGACAGTTTCAGGATTTACCCTATTCAGGATTTAATGAATCCGGATTTACGAAATGTACTAAATCTTAATAACTTAAAACCCATCCTTTACCGGATAACCCCTTAGTGTTAGTAGGATTTAGTAAATCTGGATTTGTTGAATCCAGCTCCTTGTTGGATTTATTGAATCTGTATTTAACATGAATGGAAGGCAAAATTTGAACCTTGAATCAAAATTTTCATAAATCAATGAAACTTGTGTTTTATTTTGTGTTTGGCTGTATTTATTAAATCTTATTAACATGGAGCTACGAAACACACCCGTAATAAGAGATGAATAAAATAATAAGTCATGATTGAAATTGAAAAAACAAAAAAAAGGAAATAGAAAGTTATATCTAAACTAGGAAAACAATCCAGTATTTCAACACTAAAGAATTTCAGCAAACCAAGAATAACATAAGAAAATTACAAAATAATCGGCCATAACTAAATTTTACTTCAAGTATAACATTAAAAATAAAAAAAAAAGAAAGAAAGAAAGATCAAGGCGAAACCCTAGCACTTTTAAAGCCAAAATAGCATATACTCCATTTCCTTGCCATAATAAAGCAAGCATGTGGAAACAAAATTTAAAAACAGACACAAATTACAGAAAAAAAAAACGAAAAGAATAATCAACAATCCTCGATCGAAACCTGGCTATCTGGGCAACAGAAGACGGATAAAATCACAGAAAGTGAATACTTCAACCTAAGAACTACATAAATTATTCGCATCCAAACCTATAAAAACCGTGCATGCTGTATTCCGCGACATGATTCCAAACTCCCTCTGCGTCGAAATCCAAACTACCAAGCCACCGAGTCCGAGCGTAGAGAAAGAACCCTAGAACCATTGTAGCCGCCTAGAAAGCTTATCGAGAAGTCATCGATCCCGTCCCCAAACGAAACCCGTGTGTATCAATCACCACCGTCCATTTACTATTTATTGTGTACACGTGCCTCGTATCGAGATGTTTTCGTCAGTTCCCTGTCGGCAAACAATGCCATTGGTCAACGGTATCCTAATCATTTTCGCATTATCGAAAAAATGATAAAAACAAGACTTGCGTCACAAAAAATTGTTAGCAATTTTTTTATTTGAGTAAATAATTAAAAATCTATTTAATGTTTATTAAAATTTTATAATTATATTAAATTTTTAAGGAAATATAAAAATTATGCACGCATATATAACATGAAATATTTATCATAGCGGGAGAGAGTATTTTAATTGAATTAATTAATTTCAAAAAATTAATTTTAAATTTTAAATCAATTACAATTAGAATGAGTTTAGGATGGTTAAATCAATTACAATTAGAATGAGTTTAGGATGGGATTTAGAGGTAATTATCAACCCATATGGTAACATGGTTATTGTTAGATTTTGATTTATTCATGAATCCAGCAAAAGAATAAATCGTAAGACAAAAGTGAAAGAAAAAAAACAGAGAGAAGAACATAATTTTAGAAGAAGTGTGTAAACCATTATTTATATAATGACCCACAATTTATAGAGGAAAGAGGTATGATATGTTCAATTACATTTATATCACTACATTAATGGGGGTTGAGCGGGTTATTGCAAGTATTTCATATATGTGGGCCCTGAGGGTGGTTCTATGACTCAGCAGGCTAGATTAGGGAACACTTCGAAAGCGTTGTCGGTTGGCCATGCTAAAGAGGTCCATCGATCAACTAGGCTTGATGTTGCAAGTTAGCTTGATTTTTAGTAGTAAAAGGTCGATAATGTTGACTTAGTCGGCTAAGTGATGTCTATCGGTTGATCAAGTATGGTTATCAACTATCAATCCCTAATAAGGAGCTTATGTCGGTTGGAAGGAGCAAGGTTATAGGGCTGAAGGTGAATCATCATAATCTAATAAATTGATGCCCTTGGATTAAGAGATCGTGGAGGATGATTGAGATTCATCTTATTCACTCTTGATGAAGTTCATGAAGGGTCTTGAATACCTTCGAGGAGATTGTAAGACTTAAGGGGTGACTTGTTGTTTAACATGTTAATTTTCCTCCTGCTATACTTATTTTTGACGATATTACACTTCAATGGAATGTATTTTTATGTTTTTATTGCAGGTATAATAAGTAAAGCAACTAGAGTGAACTGGAGCAAATATAGGGCGAAAAGGAGGTAATTGGAGCATTGGAGCTCGACCTGAATTGGTGCCTAGACGCCAGCTTCTAGCTCCTATGCGTTGTTACATGTCGTCATGGCATCAAATACAGGCGCTTAGGCTTCGATCCCTGAGGTATTTCTAGAGAAGGCAGTGCCTAGGCGCCAACTCATTTCCCCAGCCGACAAAGAAGGTGGCGCCTGGGCTCCATAGTTGGGCCCTTATGCGCTAAAACTATTTGACACAGTTTTCTGTGGTTTCTCACATGAAATGAAGGGTTTTTCTTCATGGAGGCAGAGGAGATGAAGGAAGAAGACATTAGGGAAGTGAAAAAAGAAGAGAGCAGTGCAGGAAAGTGAAGAAAAAGTGAGAGTTTTCCTTTTCTTTTTTGTTTTTATTTTGAGATTTGTAAGTAAGGTAAGGAATTGTTATAAGATTGCAAGGATAACACTTTGGGGTGGAGATCTTCTTCATTTCTCAGGAAAGAAGATAAGTATCTTGTATATTAATTGCCACACATTGAAGCAATTCATAGTATTTGACTTTGATTTAATATAAGATGTTGTGTTTTATGATTTTCTTCATGAAATCTGAGTAGATTCCTTGTTTCCTTTCTTTTGTAATGAAGTAGCAGCATGTGTAGGGAGTAGATTAAATTAGAATCATGTTAATTCAATAATTGTGATGATTTTTCATTTGAACGTCATTTACATTGTAATTTGGTCAGCTGTAATATTAAAATTTGCTGTGAACCCATAAGATCCAGGAGGGCTATGACTTTAATCAACTAGTGAAAGCCACACTAATCTTTATAGTGAAGAAAAATTAATCCTTAGGTTAGTGCAAATGGATAGAGAGATGATTTTAACGAGGATAACTAGGAGGTTTCTAGGGTGACAGGCATAAATATTGCCTAAGTTAACCTAGTTTCTTTATGCACTTAGAAAAGGGTAAGGAAAATACATGCTCCTATTTGTCACATGTTTATTTAGAAATTTTAGTTGATTTACACCTATACTAGCTGCTAGTTTCATTACAAAGGGAGGGAACCTCTAATATAGCTTGAACTTTCTATTTTCATTTAACTTAGTGTATTTAACTTATTAGAAAACTAAGAGGAGTAGAAGTAGTTTAGTAGAATTTCTTAGCTTAAAACTAAAAATCAAACCGTTTACCCAGCTAAGACTCCTTAAATTTAGCTAGAGCCCTTCTTAAGACCCTCAAATTTACATCCTTCCCTGTGGGATCAAAACTCGAGACTAACAAAAGCATATATTACTTGAGCAATACGTGCACTTGCGTTGATACCTAATAAATAGTGATAGGGAGTTTAAAATTAAGTGATTAAATTTTATAAAATATTTTTTATGAAACTATAATATTTAAACCCTAAATCACTTGGTATGCCATAGAGAAAGTAGCGGTTAAGTTTTTGATGTCGTTGTCGGGGAAGTGCTACGGTTAATTTGACTTAGGAAAATCTTTGTTGAACTAATTTAACTTAGTTTGGAAAAATTTTAGTGTTGTATTTCTACGTGTTAAGTGCTTGTTGCATGTTAAAATTATTTTAAAAAATCTTTAAAAAATATTTTTAATTTAGTATTAGTGTTTTATGTGATTTATTTCAAGTTTATTATTAAGTTTTAGTAGTGTGTGCATAGTGCAGCAGAAAGAACCATCAAAAAAATTATGTGTTTTATTTTGAATTAGAAAGAACCATTAGAAAAATTAGAATATAGAAAGGATCTCAACAACTTTTAGAAGAACTGGTGAATACATCACATAACAACTTAGATAATCAAACAGTTAAAAATGAACTTCATCTTGTACAAAGACCATTAAGGGATTACACAAACTCTACGACAGATGTAGCCTTAGTATACAAACTCATGTTGTAGCAGCTAACTCATTTGAGCTGAAATCTGCTATAATCCAAATGGTGCAGAACACCCAGTTTGGGGGAACTCCATCTAAAGATCCAAACTTACATCTAACTAGTTTTTTATAATTATGTGCTACATTTAAGTATGATGGTGTGTCAAATGACACAGTTAGACTAAGGTTTTTTCCTTTTTTCCTTAAGGGATAAAGTTAAAATGTGGATGAACTCATTAGCATTTGGATCTATCAGAATTTTAGGTGATTTAGCTCAGAAATTCCTAGCTAAGTATTTCCCACCCTTAAAAACTTCTAAGCTTACAAATGATATTACCTCGTTTTACGAGTATGAAGGTGAATCAATCTATGAAGTTTGGGAACGATTTAAACAAGTCCGTAGAAAGTGTCCACATCATGCTCTACCTGATTGGTTAGTTATTCAAACGTTCTACAATGGGTTAGTAGGATCCCTAGATCTATCATTGACGCTGTTGTTGGTGGTTCACTGATGTCAAAGGCATTTGATGAAGCTTATGCATTAATTGAAGAGATGGCAACAAACAACTTTCAACGGCCCTCTGAAAGGGTAAAACCTAGAAAAAAAAAAGCAAGTGTTCATGATACGGATGTGATCTCAATTCTTGCTTCTCAGGTTACCTCAATATCTAAGAAGATAGATCAATTCAGAATAAACTTACCTCAAGTACCTGCAAGAATTGAGGAAAATTCATTAGGACAAATGTTTGATTCTCAGTCACCATCGTTCAATACTTTTAAATACAATTAAAAATAGAGCCAAGAACCTCTATTCCAACTTTTATTACCCAGGTTGGAAGAACCACCATAATTTTAATTGGAATAATAATTCTAGTGGTGGAAACCTACAATGGGGAAACAATCAAGCGAACCCTTCAGGAAACTGGAACAATCATGTTAGTACTAATTATAGGCCTTCATATCCTCCAAGTTGTATCAACAATCAACAATTTAAGAAGAAGTTTTCTATGGAGGAAGTGGTGCTGCAAATAGGAAATCAATTACAAACTCAAATTGTGGCTACAAGAAATATTAAGAATCAATTGAGATAAATTGCTAACTCACTTAGTAATAGGCCCCAAGGAACACTTCCTAGCTACACTGAGATAAACTCTAAAGATAAGAACATAGAGGAAGTTAAAGCTATTAAGTTGAGAAGTGGAAGAGACTTAAATGCTAAAATTCAAAAAGAAACTGAAATTAAGAGAGATACTAAGCAAATCTAAAAAGTTCGAAGAAAATATTCCTAAGGACTTGGAAAATCCTATCTCTCTAACTAGGATTAATTTAGAAAAACAACCATCTCCTTGTCCTCAGAGTCTTAAGCGGCAGGAGTTAAATTAACAATTTTGAAAGTTTTTGGAAATATTTAAGAAGCTAACCATTAACATTCCTTTCCCTGAAATGCTGGATCAAATGCCCAACTATGTAAAGTTTATGAAGGACATATTGAATAAGAAAAGGAAGTTTGGAGATTATAAAACTGTTGCACTTAGCAAAGAGTGTAGTGTAATAATTCAAAAAAAGCTTCCTAAAAAACTTAAAGATCCTTGTAGCTTTACTATTCCCTGCGTGATAGAAGAAATATTATGTGGAAAGGCTTGAAATTTTGGAGCTATAGAAAATAGTAAACCTTTTATTCCATCTATTGAAGAACCTTCTAAACTTGAGATGAAGGTACTCACTGCATATTTAAAGTATATTTATTTAGAGACTCATCTACATTACCTGTCATAATTTCCTCAGACATAATGGAATCATAAGAAGAGAAATTGATAAATATATTAAGAAATTACAAGAAAGCCTTTGGATGGACATTAGTTGATATTAAAGGAATCAACCCTTCCATCTGTATTCATAGAATTTTAATGAAATATAATCATAAGACTA